GCCCAACCAGGCTACGGGCCCCCTACCAAGCAGCACGCAGCACGCAGGGCGGCAGCGTCTTAGCAGCGGCAGCGATAAGACCCGGGCAGGGGGGGTTTCTGAGGCGCCTGGGGACTTGGAAGCCGCAGGAAGGGCCTGAGGAAGCCCTGGGACGCGTAGGAGCCCTAGGTTGATTGCGAATCTCCACCGAGGAAGCGACGCTGTGTGCCCGATGGCGGCCCTATTGGACGACTGGCGGCTCTTGGTGCCGGGGTGTTCCTATTCTAGGCGATGGTGTATTTGTGGCATTATGCTTGTGATTTTGGCATTGTCCTCGACGTGTGGCCGTGTGCCATCGACGGTGGTGCAGGCTGTCAATTTCAAACCGATTCCAATCGGCTGGAACGGCTGATATGTGCGTCATGACTCTGTTGGCGATGGAATTAGAAGTGTGGACTGGATTGGAAAAGACACTGGACAAATGCCATTTGCGCGGAGAAAGAGAAGGAAGGCGAGGAGGAGAACCGAATAACCTGAGTTAGGTAGGTGCTGGACGACCATGCAGTACGTACCTCGATGCCTCGATGGAAGAAAAGCTGGGGTGTGGTATCTTTCTCGGCTATCTGCTTAGGTAACTACGATAGCAGATAAGAACAGGCTCGACTGGCGGGCACGTGGTGACGAGCCGACAGAGTGGATCCAGGCCTGGGCGTTGATGGTGTCCACTGAGCGCTGGGTCTGCCCCAGGTCAACCGGCTTGACCACCGGGCTCCCGGCCGAAGCAAACATCGTCTGGTTCTCGTGTCAAACACCAAACCTTGGACCTAAGGTTTTTCTCGACGTGTTCGACCGAAAATACCAGGACACCCTTTCTGCGCGGGTGTCCGAGTCACGTCTTACGATACCTGCTGAAGCACCAGAGGGCCATTGAAGGATCAAACCACCTCGCGTTGGTCTGTCTCGATGATCGTCAACAGCGGCTCTTTACCAGAACCAGAGAGCTCAAACACGGGTATGAACTGCTTCCTGAGACTTTCTGTCGCTGCCATCGACCACACAACATGCCTACTCTGATGACACATCGAGGACCCCCGAAAAATACGGCCTGACGGATCCGTGTGACGGCCCCAGCCAACGACGCGGGCCGCCTCCACGTGCTGCCGCCGTTAAGCTTACCTTCATCCGGTCGACGTTTGTCCCACGGGGTTTTGCTTACGTCTCTACGTCTGCGGCAACCCAAAGCTTGCTTACGATATTCCGAGTTACGAGTTCCGGACCACAGCTTTCCGAGGCAGCATGGTCCGCGGGGCACCTGCACAACTCCGAGAGTCCTAGGACGCGATGGGCATCGGCCGAAAGGAACGTCCCAGACGAGTCAAGAAGCCGCGATGCACCTGAGAACGCAATAAGGCCGGTCAGTCGACGGCTGCTTGTGTCTGGCCCAGGTTTATGAATCTCGCATCACGGCAAGTGCCGCCGTCGCCCTCCCTCCGTCCCTTCCCTGAAGCTGCGACATTGCGACAACGTCCCAAATCGGTCCGAGGGCTGTCACACCGATATGGGGCTTTTGCGAGGGGCCATCTGCTACCATTCCATCGCATCTTTCAACAGTTGGAGATATCATTTTTGAGAGACTCGACATGCATTTGTTGGGGATTGCGACGGTGCCCTAAGGTTATTATAAATCTGCCCGGATCGGATATCCCGGACCCTCATACCCCTCCGTTGCTCCACTGAGACACCGCAACCGGCCGAACAACGCGCGGGAAAGCCGGCCCCAAGAAACACACGTACTCCAGCTCGACACTTCAGGCAGCTGAGACTTGACTCGACTCAACCTGCAGAAGAAAGCATCTGGACGCCAGACTTGGACACGCGCGGGCGGAAAACCCGGAGATATGTCTCGAATTCGGCGTGTCCCTCCGTCTGGTGCTGGCCGCGACCGCATTCTCACCGACAAGCTATCGTCAACATCGAGACTTGGCTTGCAACGCTGTTGATCCTACGGCTGCAATGTGGCAGTTGACATGTGTGCCCTTCAGCATTTTATCCTCAGGATGGGTGCTGCTGGAGGGTGTCTTGGAGGACCGAGCTACAGCTTACCTGGCCACCCCTGGCATCGAGCAGAAAGGGCTGCCACCCTGGGGAGCTCTGGCCTGGACCATCCCATCGGATAAAGGCAGATGAACCTCGAGCACCAACGGTGCGCCGGTTGCCGATGTCGAGTGCCGACTTTTCATCCCGAAACGAGAAAAGGGAATGGGTTCCGATCTGCATTCCTCCACAGTCGCGCCGAGCATTAGCTAGTTCAATGTGCGAGGACGCCGCAATCCCGTTTGCAAGACAGCATCAAAAAGTGAAAAGTCTATTGCGAGCTTCTCCTTTGAGTACGTGCAGCTTGTCTGTCGCATTTTGCTTATCAGAGCTCCAGTCTTCAGAAGCATCGGTGTCACATTCAACAATGCTGCTGCAGCTCAATCACAAGAGAAGAAACGCGTAAACAAACACCCGCCATCTTCATTTCATCACACCTGCATCCTGCCATCCCTGAAACCCAGAGGCCGTTGCAACGGTCTAGGCAGATCATTGCCGTTCCCTTACCACGTCATCACCAAAAGCACCACCCTCACTGGCCCAGACGGGAGAGGAAACGAGGACACCGACCAGCCAGGGCTCGGGCGTGGGCCAAATGCGATGCAATCGGATTGGCCTCTGGATGTCTCCCGAGCTGGCATCCGATGCAAATTGATGACCTACGCCTCCCGGGCTGGTGGATGTCCTTACCCCGCGTTGCGTGTGGGAGAAGCCGTCTGGGGTACGCCGCCGCGCCGCCACGGCGCTCTCCACTCACACCCAAATCTGGGGGAAAAGACGACCAGGGGTGTTGTTTGTGGTCGTGGCCGCGAGGTATAGAAACATCGACACGTCCCTGCGAGATCTTGCTCCATCTTCGTGGACCCTGAGCTTCCTTTCTGCACGTTCTCATTACACAACAGCTTTGCTCCATCTCTCGGTGTTGAGTAAGGCCGTACCATCTCCCAGCCGAATTTCCGAGCTCCACCAGCGCTGCCGCCCCCGGTCACCGCCGTGACTGCTCCGCCAAGAACCGAGAATTTTCGCTTGCAAGAGACGGTCTCCGAGGAGGAGACCCCCTCTTTCCCGTCAAAATGAGTAACGACAAGCCGGTCGTCGAGAACATCGACAACATCAACGCAAACATGGGTCAGACGATATCTTCGGAGTTCAAGAGGCCGGACCTGGAGAAGTAAGAGACATCACCTAAGTAAGATCACCCGGTCTGGACCCCACTAACACCGTCACAGGAGCCATCCGGAGGAGTTCGTGTACGACCGGGCCGCCGAGCGGAAGCTCCGACTCAAAATCGACCTCGCCATCGTCCCGACCGTCAGCCTGCTGTACCTCTTTTGCTTCATCGACAGAGCCAACATCGGTTAGTCTCTTCCCCGTGATCACGTCCATCAGTCAAGCTGACTCGCCCAAGGCAATGCCCGTATCGCTGGTTTCGAGACAGACCTGGGCATGAAAGGCTACGACTACAACGGCACGCTATCCGTCTTCTACATCTCCTACATCATTTTCGAAATTCCCTCAAACATTCTCTGCAAGCTCCTCGGCCCAGGATGGTTTATCCCGCTCATCACGCTCCTCTTTGGTATCTGCTCGCTCGGCACTGCCTTTGTGCACACGGTCCCCCAGGCGATGGGCGTCCGTTTCCTCCTCGGAATCTTTGAAGCAGGTTAGCACACAGCAAAATATCCGTCCATCACATCGCAATACTAACATAACTAGGCATGATGCCGGGTATCGCCTACTACCTCTCTCGCTGGTACCGCCGCTCCGAGCTCGCCTTCCGCCTCTCCCTCTACATCGTCATGGCCCCCCTCGCCGGCGCCTTTGGCGGCCTCCTTGCCTCCGCCATCCTCCGCCTCCCGCACTTCGGCGGCCTGCACACCTGGCGCATGATTTTCGCCATCGAGGGCATTATCACCATCGGCCTCGGCCTCCTCGGCTTCATCACGCTAACCGACCGCCCCGCCTCCGCTCGCTGGCTGACCGCCGCCGAGAAGGAGCTCGCTGAGGCCCGTGTCCGCTCCGAGCGCGTCGGCCAGGCGCACCTCCTTGACAAGATGGACACCCGCAAGCTACGCCGCGGTATCTTCAACCCCGTCGTGCTCTCCACCTCCTTCGTCTTCCTGCTCAATAACGTCACCGTCCAGGGGCTCGCCTTCTTCCTCCCCACCATCGTCAAGGGCATCTTCCCGGGCTCCTCCGTCGAGCGCCAGCAGCTCTTCACGGTCCCGCCCTACGTCGTCGGCGCCTTTTTCACGGTGCTGCTGCCCTGGCTCAGCTGGCGCATGGACCGCCGCCAGATCTTCTTCATTTGTTCCTGCCCGCTCGCCATGGTCGGCTACATCCTCTTCCTCGCCAGCCACGAGCTCAAGGTGCGCTACGGCGCCACCTTCCTCATCACCTCGTCCGTCTTCGCGCTCGGCGCGCTCACGAACGCGCAGGCCTCGGCGAACGTCGTGTCGGACACGGCGCGCAGCGCGGCCATCGGCACGAACGTGATGCTGGGCAACTGCGGCGGGCTCGTCAGCACGTGGGCGTTCCTGCCCTGGGACGCGCCGGACTACAAGATTGGCAACGGGCTCAACCTGGCGACGATCAGCACGATTTTGGTCGTGTCGACGGTGACGCTGATCTGGATGAACCGGGACAACCGCCGGCGCGAGGGGCGGGTTGCGGAGGAGGAGCTGAGCGGCGTTTCATCTGAGGAGGAGAATGATTTGGACTGGAAGCATCCGTCGTTCAGATGGCGGCCGTAGATTTAGTTCGCGTGACGTTCATCTCATCTGAGCCTTTCGATGACTTGGATCTCGTCGGATCACAGAACGCCTTACAAAGAATGAGTTGAATTATTCAGACGATAATATATTCATTCAAAATAGACAACAAGTCTCAACTAATTACGTGAACTAATATTCTCCATCACTCACCCCTCACAACTTGCTCTTCCCAGCACAACACGACCCCGCCTCCCCCTCAAACGCAAGCTTGCTCACCTGGTCCGTCGCATCCACCACCCCCTCCCGTCCCTTCGCAACCTGGCTCGGCGTGCTGCAATAACTCGGCGGCACGTCCATCACGGGGTTATTCGCGAAGAAGTTGCGCGGCCGCAGCAGCAGCGTGATTGGCTCGACGGGCATGATGGGAAAGTCCTCGGGCGCGGGGATGTGCGTCACGCCGAAGGTGTGCCAGAACACCACGTCCTCCTGCTCCACGCTCTCGCTGCCGTCGCCGACCCACTCCGGGATGCCGCGCGACGGCTCGCCCGAGGTCTGCGGCACGTGGCGGCCTGCCGGCCAGAGCTCGTCGTCGCGGTACTTGGTCACCATCACCGCGTGCCGCGCGAAGCCCGCGCGCTTCCAGACCAGGGAGCCCTCTTTCGGCAGCAGCCCGGGCACTTCGCGCGAGACGAGCTTGTAGGAGGCGGGCTTGCCGGAGTACGGGTGGAGTTTGTCCGTGTTGGCGATCTCCCAGGTGCGCGAGGTGGCGCCGTTGTAGTCTGTGAGGGATTCGCCTGTCGTGGCGAGCTTGGTGCGCCGCGCGGAGAAGGCGTTGCCGTAGAAGTTCTCGGGGGAGCCGACCGGCGCGTCGGAGGGGACGGCGTCGACCATGAAGACGGTGTTGCGCGGGCCGTCGACGTTGGGGTCGATGCGCAGGCAGAAGAGGTGCTGGTGGTTGTGCGCGTTGACGCCGGGGTAGACCTGCGTGCCCCAGCCCTTGGTGTCTTCACCTGGGTTCATGGCGTACGTGTTGAGGATGCCGGTGAGCTTGATCTCGGGCTGGATGGTGCCGTCCTGGTGGAAGATCCACTGGACGGCGTACTCGTAGTTTGCGGCGGTGAAGATCTGCTGGATGATGAGCTTGCGGCCGCGGGTGACGATGACGGAGTCGTCGCGGAAGTCGGTGTGCTTGAAGAGGATGCCCGAGTCCTCCTCGTGGATGCAGATGGCGTTCTTGATGGTGCGGACGGCGCCGTTGCGGGTGGGGAACTCGGCGTCGAGGTAGTGGATGGCGCCCTTGCAGTCGCAGCCGAGGGCGAGGGAGTTTGTCATGTAGCCGGCGCCGTACTCGCCGAGGTCGAAGGCGTGCTTGCGCTGGTGGGGGTGCTCCGGGTTGCCGTAGGGGACGACCATCTCGGCGAGGGAGAGGCGGTAGAAGATGGGGCGGACGGTGCCCTTGTCGTTGTAGGTGATGTTGCTGAGGACGATGCCCTCGCGGTAGTTGAAGCCGATGTGGAAGTTCCAGTTCTGCCAGGATATCTCGCGGCCGGCCATGGTGAAGGAGACGCCCTGCGGCTGGGTGATGTTGATGGGCTTAAGGTCGGTGCGGTAGCCGCCCTGCTTCTGGACGGCGGCGGGGGTGTAGTCGATGGGGGCGGCCTTGCTGAGGGGCCGGCGGACGTTGGGGACGTCGATGGCGACGATGGCCTGCTTGTCGGCGTCGTAGATGGGGCAGAAGTCGAGGGGGTACTGGTACTGGCAGGTGTCCGGGTCGGGGCGGTAGTACATGAGGGCCTGCTGGAGGCGGACGGTGTTGCCGTGGCGCTCGTCGTAGCCGATGGTCCAGGGGTCGCAGTAGACCTTGTGCATCTCGTGGCGGGGGACGCCGGAGAGGACGCACTGCTCGATGACGCGCTCGTCGGTGCGGCAGATGTGTTCGACGATCTGGAGCTCTTCCATTGTGATCTGGGGCGGGTGTGTTAGTCGCGGTGCGGGTGAGATGGTAGGGAGTGATACTCACGATTGGTTGGACGCCCTCCATGAGCTCCCACTTTGTGATTGCGCCCGAGGCGATGTCGACGAGGCCGTCGTAGACCTTGCCGCCCTTTGCGATCACGACAACGTCTGCGATGCGGGCTGGGCGCGGGGCCGTGCCGGGCGCGGCGAGGAAGGCGGTCATCTCGGCCTTGCGGGGCTCGTGGAGGGAGACGACGTTGAAGAAGACCTCGCCATGCGCCGCGGTGACGGCGGCGATGGCCTTCTCGATCTCCGCGGCGGAGAGCGGGTCGAGAGGGTGCGGAGGAGCCATGGTTGGGGTTTTGGTGTTTGCGTGTGTCAATTGGGAGGCAGACGTGGGAGGGGGAGGGGAATTGACACGAGAGAGTGAAGAACCATGAGAATCCAAAAGTGACTGAAGGATTGGAGAGAGCTCTAGTTAAAGCTTATATCTGGGGAGCTACACCAGCAACGAGACTGAGGCCCCCTCACCGGGGAGCCGGGGTGATGGCGGCTTCGTCCCGCCACGGACAGCCGGATCTGGCAATTCCAACATCTGATACTCTCGGGACGTGGACGGGAGGCTCGTCATGCCAATCCAATGACCAAAAGGCGTTGTAAGCCGAAGGGAATCGATAAGGTCATTGGGGAGAGGCAGGGTGGAGATTCCTGGTGTCTGATAAGAGCTCTCCGCAGAGCGAACTTGGGGAGTCCCAGCTGGAGGGCCAGGTCTCATTCGACTCTCCAGATAGGGATCGTCTCATACACGCCGTGCATTAGCTATTGCCTGGCCAATTGGCCCGTCTCCCTGGGCAAAGAGGAAACCAGGGACCTTCACGCTAGCCCAAGCGACCACGCGGGGAGTACAGACTGAGGAAAAACGTCGAATTGGTTGATTGGCAAAGAAGGTGGGCGGTGGGGGAAAGACGAGACGAGAGGCTCGATGGGGAAGGGCGACACGATAAGCTCCCGGGTATCTTTATCTTATCGCACTCTTGGTGTGCTGCTTTGAGGTAAACGGTAAGTGCAGGGCGCATCCACCGCCGGGACCGGAGCGCGCGGTCTGCAGGCGGGCCTTCGGCATCATGGGTGGGGTTCATGCTCGGGACAAGGATCGGGACCGGTCTCGCTGGTAAAAGGTGTCGGGTAAAATTAACTAATTGGGTTTGGCGCCTCTCAGTTGCGAGCTGGTAGTCGAAGCAGTTACCTAACGCTGGGTGTCTGATAGGAGATGGAAACACCTATTTGCCTTTTAGCAGCTGCAGAACACGGCAGATAGCCAAAAATGGACGGAAATGAGGTTCTGAAATGACTGTGCATGAGACTTTCGTGGTGTTGAGTAATGGCCTCGACACATCTTGGGCATTCTCGTCTCTTGGAGAATGCCAGCCAATGATTGGTCGTGCTTTTCAATGAGGGGAATGTCTTAACGCCGAAGACTGTCGGCGTTAAGACATACAGCGATGACATCAGCAAAAATTCTGCCTCTGTTCGGTGACTGTCTATCTACGCGCCTAAACATCATCAGCCACACCATCCGACCTCCAAAGTGACCGCCATTGGATCCCTGCCATCAGTCTTGATAAGCGCCAACTTCTGTTTGCGAGGCCAACCTGTTGGCCCAATATCGCGACCTGCTGTGGCTGATTGCTAGCTTGACTCACTCAAGAGATGAAGAGTCACTGAGGCCGCCATTTGAAATCACAACATAAACTGAGAGACCTCGGCCACCTTGATCAATATAGCTTCAAAAAACAACTGCTTCAGAACTATCAGTAGTTGTCTGGGTTAGACTGGCACTCAGAAACAACCATATCCTGATTGACCCTACCCCAAAACCCCAACTGGAGACTGCGAGAGACCTTCACCCACATTCACCATGACAAAATCAGCTCTCTCATTCGCGACGCCCTTACCGCAGTCTTCCCGCTCCGAGGTCCTCGAGTGGCACTTCCCCAAGCCATGCCAGTATACTTTGATTGGCAAGTCGCGGGCAGCATGGCACACAAGCTTCGTCATCCCACAACTCAACCTCCTCCTGGACGCAGGCCTCGTCGTCAACGACCTAAGACCAAAACACATCGTCCTCACCCACACACATAGCGACCACTGCGTTCGTCTCACCTAGACTCACTCCTCATTCTGGTCCTCCTTTTGCTAACTTTCACGCCAGCTCCTTGCACCGGCCTTCACCAAGCGCGAGGACCCACCAGACATCATCCTCCCCGCCGAGTGCAGGAAACTCTTCGACGACTACGTCCTCGCCAAAACGCTCCTCAACCGCGGGGGCACCTACACCGGCGATGACGCCGAGTCCCTCGGCCTGAAAGTCGACGGGCAGGGCATCGACGCCGACGGCAGGACAGAAGGCGAGCGCGCCTTCCTCGGCACGCACAACACCATCCCCGTCAAGCCGGGGGACACCCTACCCCTGCGCAAGGTCAAGAACATGACCGTCTCCGTCTTCAAGTGCGACCACAACGTGCCGAGCGTCGGCTACCTCTTCTCCACGACGAACCACAAGCTGAAGCCCGAGTACACCTCCCTGCCGGGCCCCGAGATCAAGAAGCTGCGGCAGTCTGGCGTGGAGATCACGGCGCCCGTGACGACGCCGGTGTTTGCGTTTCTGGGCGACGGGACGGCGACGACGCTGGCTGCGGAGCCGGAGTGGCTGAAGCAGGAGGTTGCGGTCGTGATTACGGAGTGCAGTTTTCTGTATGATAAGCATGACGGGCAGGCGGAGAAGACGAAGCATACCAAGTGGAAGGATTTGGAGAAGGTGGTGAGGAAGTGGCCGAAGACGACGTTTATACTGATCCATTTCAGTATGAGGTATAGTAATAAGGATATTGTGGAATTCTTCAATGCGTTGGAGGATCCGCCGACGAACATTGTGGTTTGGGCAGATGGAGAGCCGGAGTAGATTCAAAGACTTTCCTACCTGAGTACCTAGAACCGTCATAAACAAAATGGTATCACTGACCGAGATGCTTTTACTCCTTTCCCCCCTACGTGCTTTGAAGCCTGAGTGAGTTCGAAACTTCCTCAACAAGCAAACATTGATATCATCAGAATTTTCTGCCTGTGCTGGAAATACAACAATGCTGCTTGGTTACATGTTGTTCTTCACGTTGGCCAGTGCCTCTCAGTAACCCCTCCCCGTCATTCCCTAGGCGCCCAAAACAGCATTGCCCAAGGAAATATTCGTAGAAAGTGTTGTAAGGCTCCTAATAGCGCGCATAGGGGTTTCCTATGCTAGATCATTGGCTGGTAGCCGAGTCTGGGCAAGCTAGCACCCATGCAGGTGAGACGAAGAAGGCAGCGAATCAGGTCCAGCCAACGCAACAGCGGCGTGCGCATTTGCGTCGAGATAATCTTCCAGCTGACGCCAGCGGCATTTTTCAAATTCTTTTTCCCAAACCGAAATGACGAGGCCAGTCAGGAACAACTCATCTTCTGCTTTATCGTAACCAAATACTATGGAAACTAGTCTGTGCTAGACTCCACTTCATTATGCCACCAGCTCGTTCAACATCCCGGCCGGAAGACGCCGCAAGATTGGCCCTCAAGGAACCGCAACAACGAAAGACTGAAGCTGTTCAGCCGCACATCTTCATTCCACTGAACATTCCTGACTGTATCGGAAGCCAAAGGCCTGCAGTTGCCAGCAGGATCCCCGATGGCGTCACCAACCTCGGCATTGGAGGCCAGTGGGTGTATCCAGCGAAGTACGTCTATGATGCAATGCAATCAACAGACTCTGGCATGCAGATGGCCACGTAGAGGAATTGGATATACCCGGCTTTCCGAGGTGTATCGGTAGGATGCACAGCTGTCCCTTTGAAATTACACAAGAACCCATAAGACTAACAAGAGCTAGTGGACCCAGCCATAGGCAGGCCACACTACCCGGTTGATATTGGCATGCATATGAGATTTGGTATGGATGCCAATTCGAAATTCCATTCCCATCTACCTCCACGGGACTCAAACATGTTGACTGAGCTCGATAGTCTTGCAAAGGCAGCCCGTTCAGATGCGCAAACAGAAAGCGTGGTTCAAACAAAATTCATGGAAGCTGGAAGTACCGCCACTATTGCGGGAAACAACCTGTCCATCCCAGGACATTTCTCAAAACGCGAAAAGGCGGATTCATGCCGCAGAACTACAGGGACGCCAACCTCTCATTCGAGTTCAGGGTCAGCCATGACACAACTGTCAGGCACAACGGACTCAGCCATCGCGGCAAATATGATGTCCACCGTTGGTGCTCAAGATGTCTACGACAAATTGCTAGACTTTTTCAGTCGCTTCATTGAGTTCAAACTTCACATCACAGAATCTCAGCAGCGTGGGGGCCCCCTTTCAAAAAGGAACTCTCGCGCACAGCAAAATTTGACCGTCATTAAAGGAGGATCACAACGTCAGGCTGCGAAAGACAAGAGGAAGCGAGTCTCCCAGGCAGACGATAGTTTTGATGATTCTGGCGAAGCCCCGGACGATGAAGAACTCGACGGCAAACGAAGAAAGACCGAGAAGCTGAAGATTGCGTGTCCGTATATGAAGCGGTATCCTACGGAATTTTGTTCATGGAGAACATGTGTGGGCCCTGGGTTTGACGGTATGAATCGAATGAAGTATGTATTTCCTAGCATATTGTGGTCTGTAAGCGTTGCTAACCTCGCTTTCACCAGGGAGCACCTTAAGCGGAGACATTTCAAAGAGAACGGGTGCCACCGCTGTGGGTTGTACCTCGAGTCCAACCAGGCGCTCCAAGACCACCTGAGATCCCTTGACATCTGTCCTGTCAAAGTAATTCTGCCGTAAATGGGTTTCATGACTCAGATTCAATCGGAAGAGATCAGCAAGAAGCGCCAGGCTCATACAGTACCGCTTCTACAGCGCTGGAAGGAAATCTATCTTATTCTTTTTCCCGATGCCGATGAGGATACAATACCCGGCCCCTGTGAGTACACAACCCCCCAGCACTGCTAAAAATGCTGACAATGATGTAAAATCTCCAGACTTCGAGGCTACCGAGATTTCCGATGGTCTGTCGAACATCTTCGATCCGCAGGAATAGGAGAGCTTCTTGAAGCGGCACCTGCCGGCACGCATTCTCATGAACCTGAATCGCGAATTCCAGATCATCTCTGATCTCGCGAAAGCGAAGCTTGCAGAAATGTTGCAAGAGGAGTCGTTGGAGGTCCTCAAGGCCTACGTCCTTCAGAAAGGCGGCAGCTCATCCCAGACACTGCAGACAGACTGTTCAGGATCAGAGCTACTGGATCCAGCGGCAATTGACAACAGTCTCTTTGACAATATTGAAGCAATAGGAGATCAGGGGCAAGATGCGTTCGACTTTTCATTCTTGGAGGCATATTGCCAGCAAGCGGGTAAGGAAGGGTCTGAGCAAACAGACTCCGCATACGGACCATCAGTCATGTAGCATTTGCGGATGTTGCCATCCGAAAGCTAAGGTGCAATTTCAGTGGGCGAGTAAATACGTTAGTCTGTTCAGAAGAAAGCGTCAGAATCAAAATAACGAGAAAGAAAAGGAGATCCAGTAGGTGATCACCTTTTCGCCTCTTATGGGCTCCCAAAAAGGACCAAGACTACCACCAATGTAACCGAGGTCTGTGGATCGCACGAGAAATAAAGTTGTGAAAATGTGCCATTCGTAGGCTGTCAATTTTGGTGAATGACATGTAATGGATGCACGGTGGTGTGCTGGGCAGTGAATGGGCACGGGTTGGCGACAGAGAGCTAGCACCCTGCATTGATATTGCTTGACAGCCAATGATATGTGCGTGGCAAACACAAGCGTTACTTGCGCATTTGCGTCAAGTGGTTACAGCGCAGGTATGATTCATCCTGCAGAGCCCAATATGAAGCAATGAGTGCTTTATATATCCCACATTGTCCTGCAAATTGACCGTGTATTCAAAATTCAGTCCTAGAGGTCATTTCTGACCCACAAATGCAAGACGAGCCCGATGACTGCGACTTGCTGTAGGCAAGTAGCAACAGGAACCACATCAGACCCAAAAGGCTTCCGTCAACTTCAGCACAGATGTGGCCAGGTATCCGTATACAAAAGCTCCTGCCACATACGCATGCAAGAATGACGGTAAAGGGTGCAACGCAAAGCATCCTTCCTGAATCGGACTTAGGCGTCATTCCACGAATCGTCCCCAGTATTGAAGGTTCAAATCATACTTTGCCAACCATAAAGGCTCCTGATGCAAGGCCTTCTGTGAGAGAAGTACTTGAAAAGGTCTCCCAACATGAGCTGAGCATCAGAAAAGCTCATAGAACAATTGGGCGTCTGTGGAAAAGTTCACATATGCAGATTCTCGACATTGATGATCTAGAGTCTTTTGCCGGAACTTCGAGGTTTAAAGATCAGGGTATTCAAACTGAACCCAGGAGATCACTTCATTCTTTGCGGGACCCTATTGCGGAAACACACTGGTCTATTAATTCGAAAGCTACCGACGATTCAGGGTACCTGTCTAGGAATGGACCGACTGACTCTCGGAATGAGGACCCGAGCTCAGATTCCGAGCGAGACATTGACCAAGGATTCGGGCAACGCCATCTGCCTGCGGCCATCGCCAACACCAAAAATACTTGCGCTGGCACTCATCGACTCCAAGCCTCAGGACATAGAAGCGGTATCAACGTAAAGAAGCTGTCACCCTCGAGGCCTGATGATGAAGATGAATCACGGTCATCGCGTTCCTCAGCTCAGAGCTTTTCAAATAGTAGTAAGGAACAGGACATCGATTCAACTCCCTGCACGCACCCGACTGCGGGAACCGAATCCCCTTCCGATGAATCAACACCCGCGTCGTCTGACAACTCCGAGGCCACCCTAACGAAGGCGATACTTGCGAGTTGCGCAACCGAACAAATCGCCAGCGACGTGACTAGGAACTTCATGGAAATCGTGCGATCAAAATTCGGTCCTCGACAACGGGGACCTACCTCGTCTCAGGAACAAAGACAGTCCTCTGCGCATGCTTCTCGGCCTTCTCAGGACATCCGTAGAGAGGCTCCTCAGAGGGGACGCCAGCGTCTCAGTAATGACCGCAAGAGATCTCGGCATTCAAAGGGCGAGGACGAGGATTCTGATAGAGCCCCGAATGACAAGACCCCTGGATCAAAGCGCCGGAAGATTGCAGAAGCCGACAAACCGAAAATAGCCTGTCCATTCATGAAGCACTCTCCCACCGAGTTTTCGGACGTCTCAAAATGGAGGACGTGTATCGGCCCGGGATTTGACGGGATGAACAGAATGAAGTATGTTCGTTGGATTCGATGTTTTGATCGCACATCACTAATTCATGCGGATGTCAGAGAGCATCTCAAACGCAGACATTTCAAGGATTACACTTGCCAAAGGTGTGGTGTGCAATTCAGCTCCGACGATACTGGAACGGGGTTTGGTGGGCCTACTGGATTTTTCGGCGTTTTTAGCATTTAGAGGTCAGATTACTAGCCCCCTTTAAAAGGTGAGAAGTTAGCTCAGATATTATTATTAATCCTCATAGATTAGAGGTAGAATTTACTTATTTTTTAGTAGATTTTTAAGCTTTTAATCTTATTCTTTTTATTTTAGATTAGTAAAGTAAATAATAAATCCTTTCCTTTTTTTTTTAAGATTATAAGCTTTAAAACTATAAAGTTATATAGCTATAGTAGTTCTATATACTTTTAGGTATATATATACTACTATATTATATAGTTTTTAACTACTAAGCTTATAACTATTTTAATAGTACTTAGAGGTAAATTCTTTCTTCTTTTAGATATTTATAAGAAGTACTAAAAAAAAGCTTACTCTTATACTAAGTAAATAAATTAATATAATATATATAATAACTATAACTATTATTACTAACTATATAATATTAAGAAATATAATATATTAATAAGAATTAAATAGTTATTTATAGACCTAATTTATAATAAGTAGAGAAGTATAATAGCTAAGTATAACTCTACTAATAGGAATATAGAGATATAAAAAAACCCTAAAAAAGACCCTAAAAGTATTATAGTCTATATAGTAAGGAATATTAAATTTTTATTTATTTTTACCCTTATTACTCTTTAATATTATAAGCTATTAAGGCTAAACTAGATCTACTTAATAAGCTTTCTAAACTAATAAGAATATAAAGTTTTATAATATTTAGATAAAATAGCCCCTAAGAACTAATAAATTTATTATAAAAGAATAGAATAAATCTACTATAAAGCTATTAGTAGTCTATATAACCCCTAATAGATTAACTAATAGAAGCCTAGAAAAAGGAATATAAAGTTAACTATAGAGACCTAAGATAGTATAGCTAATTAGGCCTAAAACTAATAAGAGTAAAGGTATAACGCCTATTTACCTAGTTATACTCTTTTCTCTTATCTCTTTTTCCTTTATTATATTTTCAGAAAAAGTAATAATAATACTTAAGATTAAAAAGACTAATACTTTTAATTACTTAAAAATAATAACCTATATATTTACTATCTTAATTATTAATAACTACTATAGCTAAGATATAGTTTAAAATAATTAAAGAAATATTATATAAAGATATCCTAACTCCTTATAACCTCACTACTAGAGGTAAGTCTACTAATATATTTAATATCTAAACTAAAGTATTTAGGAATATCTAAGATTAAATTAAAATAACTTTAGCTTCTAAAAATAACTTATTTAATAACCCCTTTAGTTTATAAGCCTAAACTATTAATATTAACTTTACTAAGGTTAACTATACTACTAATAGTACTTACCTCTATACTAAAACTAATAGAGGTAAGGAATAAGTTTCTAATATTAATCCCTATTATATTTTAAGTAATAATACCTATAGAGTCTAATAGTAGCTTATAGCTCTTATTAGTAATACTTATCTTATTTCTATAAACTAGTTAATAAGAATTATTAAGTAACTAATAGAGTTATACTTTTAATATCCTATACTAATTATAATAAATCCCTTCCTAAATAAGAATACCCCTATATTTATAAGTAATAATATTATAGATTTTATTAAAACTTATAATTCCTAGTCCTATAAAGCCTATTAGATTAATAAAGATAAGCTAATAAAGGTCTACCTCTATAGTCTTAAGGACTTAAGGTAAGGTATTAAATTATTAATTAAAAACCTTAATAATTAGGAAGCTACTAAAGCTACCCTTATTAACTAGTATAATATTATAAATAAAAGCTTCTATTAAGATCCTAATAAAAAGCTTTAAGTAATTAAGGATAAGCCCCCCCTCTCTAAAATAGATATTATTAATATTATAGCCCTCTTTAATTATATTAAAAGCTTATACTATAAAGCTATTATAAAGGAACTCCTAAAGTATTAAAACTAAAATCTTATTCACCTTATTTATAAGTACTTACTAAAAGGAGCTATTAAAGCTACTATAAAAGCTCTCTCTTATAATATTATAGACCTACTCTAAAAGCCTTAGTTAAGTATTAAGTATATAATTATTAAATAGGTAGCTAAAAAGACCTCTTATATATATATTAGTAGAAGGAAAGTTATAAAGATAACTACTCCTCTCTTAATTACTAATCTTATTAAACCTATTAACTAGCCTATATAAGTTACCTATATTTAGTAGTAATATAATAACTTAAAAGCAGTAGACTCTAATAAAGTTACTACCTTTTAAGAGTAGATATACTAAATATCTCTTAATAGTAAAGATATTAAGGAATAGATAAGGGCACTTATAGCTAATATCTAAAAGCTAAGCGTAAATATTAACTAGTAACTTAAACTAATATAAAATAGTTATATTATAGATATAAACTAAATATTTATAGCATAAAGAAGTTATAGATAGTAAAGAGAGGCTAACTAATTTATAAGCTTAACTACTATAAACTAAATATAGTATAATATACCTAAGATTAAAAGTTATTACTCCTATAGAATAAATAGATACTATATAGCTAAATATAATATTATAGATAAGTTAAGGAACGCTAAAGTAATATACTACTTAAGGGGATAGTATATTAGCTCTTATACTAATTATAATATTATTTAAGATAGTATTATTAATAAAAAATAGAAGAACTTAATACCTAACTTAATAACTATTTAGGCTTATATCCTCTAAAGTAAAGTATACCTCTAGCTAGAAGTAGTAGTAAAATAATTCTATAATAAATACTACCTAGAGTAAGTATTTAGCTTAGAATTATCTATCTATTATTAGGAGGCTATAGTTATAATAAATAAAGCTTAGAGAGAATAAAAAGAGGCTAAATGATAAGTATTAATAACTGCTATTAATTATATTAATATTAAGTATATATATAGCTATATAGTTAATATTAACTATATAAGAGATAAAAAGCTAATAGAGGTTAATATTATTACTAAAATAAAAAATAATAACTTCTAATATACCTTATATAGTAACTCCTTAGTAAGAAAGGTTTACTTTATAGATTAGATCTTAACTTAATAAGGTGCTATATTTATAGGAGATACCTAAGTTAAAGAAGTAGTTAAAAACGAAATAATTATATAGGTCCTTTTATAACTTTAGCTATAAAGACCTACTTACTATAAAAGGACTAAGGAACTATATTAAATAACCCTCTTCTTAAACTTAGAAGAAACTTACTCTTAAGTTATAGCCCTTTATAGTAAAAAGCAGATAGGTAATATCACTCTACTAGAACAGTTTCTCTTAAATAACTAATTAGAATATAAATAGCTTAAGTTCTAATATATAATAGTATATATAGAGTAATATTAAGACTAAGTATATAGTAGTAATATAGTTATTACTAACCTAGCTTTAGCTAATACTTATATATAAGTTAAAGGCTAAAAAATAAGTATTAGAGAACTTATAAGGAAATAAGATAAGAAATATAAAGCTAACCTATAATAGCTTAAAAATAGTAATCTTAAGTCTATAAAAAGTAGTACTAATATACTAATAGAAGAGCTATAACCTATTAGGGGAAGCTACTATATTAATATAAATATAGTAGATATATTAACGCTATAAAGCTTTAGACTAACTAATATTAAGGTTTTAGCTATAGAAGACTTCTAGTAACCTTAACCTAAAGTTACACCCTACTCTAATAGAAGGTATATAGTTACTACGTATAACTTTATTATACCTCACTTTTAAATAGCTATTTAAATTAGACACTACCTAGCTAAGGAATAGTTAGAAATTATTAATACTAGCTCTATAGTAAATATTATATCTAAAGACTATATTAACCTCAATAGACTTTAAAATAGAGTTATACTAACCTTAGTTATAATTAGAAGTTTTATAGATATTATATTAAAACTATAGTTTATAAGTACTATTATAGAGGATATATATATTAGTAACTACTATATACCTAATATAGGTTTCTTTATTAGCCTATCTAATAAGACCTTAAAAAGCTTAATCCTTAATAGCTTTTTTATCTATTATACTAAAATAGAGCTTAGCTATATAGATAGATAGATTAATAGCAATTTTTACTACTATACTACTTAATACCTATTAAAGTATACCTTTAGTTTCTTTACTAACTAGTCTATAACCCTCCTTCTCTACGTTATCCTTAACCTAAATATATTTAATAAGATTTAGAGCTCTTATTATATTCCTAAAGAGGAGGGAAACTAAAAGCTACTACTACTATACTTAGTATAATAACTAGCTTATTAGAATTAGGAATAAATAAAGCTTTAAATCCTACTATAGAAGAGGATTATAAGACTAATAGCTAAGAAGATATTTAGATACTTAATATTAAGTAGTTATCTTTAGATATAGTAGTATAAGCTAAACTTAAAGATAAAGATAAAATTAAGAGTACCTTTAACTATAAAAGTAAGTTTTTTTAATAAATTCTTAAGATATTAATCTAATAAGCTATTACCCTTAAAGTTACTTCTATAACTACTAAACTTACTAAACTTAAGAACTATAACTTAAATTATACCTATAAGAACTAGAGGATATTAGTAAACTATTATAGATCTAAAGTAAGTCTAAAAAGGAAAAAGGTCTTATTATAAGTAGAAGAGGTATATAAAACTAGCCTTAATATACTAGCTATAACTAAGAGGATCCTAAATATAGTAAAAGCGCTAAATAATACTATATTCTTTAATAAGCTAGAGAAGTCCTATAAATAGCTTTTAAGTTAATAGGGTAGTAACTTAGTAAATATTTTATTTCCTTAAAATAATATTACTATATAGTTTAGAACTATAGAATATATTATACTCTACTATAAAGCCCTTTTATATAAAGATTTTACTATAATAAATACTATTAAGGCCTCTCAGATAGTTTAAAAAGCTTAATATATTACTTACTATCTTAGTTCTATAGATAGATCTAAGTAGGATAAATACTAAGAAAAGGTTCTATATAAAGTAGCTCTTATTAAGTTTAAGTTTAGCTTTAAGCTTCTAAAATAGCTCTTACTAACTAAGATTTATAAATTAGTAGCTATTTCTAAATTTAATAATAAGTAGGGTATTAGACTTACCTAAGAGAAAGTTTAAGTTTTCTATTACTCTTAATAGGGTAAAAATTTTTTAAGTAAAGCTATTATAAAGGTAAGAATAATACTCCTCTATAAAACTTTAGATAGAGGTTAGAACCCTCCTAATATAGTTAAAGTTAATACTATATATAAGACTAAGGATAGGAAGATCTACTTTATTAATAATATACTATTAAATAGTACTATCTTAGAAAGAGACCTTAAGTAGAAACTTAAAATATAAGTTAAGGTTTAAGAAAAGTTTAAGATATATACTAAAGACCTCTTTATAGACTTAATTATACCTAAGTTCTCTAATATTCTAATAAGAGAGCGCCTTATTTAAGAATAATTAAATAAGCTACTTAGTACTATACTATACTTAACTAACTAAGAGAAAGCTTTGCTTATATAAGTCTAAAAGAATAGAGAGATAGCTATAGTGTGGGAATTCCCCTATTATAGATCTATCTACTTATTAATAGCCTTACTATAGTTTATTTAAACTATTCTATATAAAGTATAGTAAGCTTAAAGTATACTAATCCTAAAGGTACTTAAAGTTAAAGTTATTTAGATATTTAAAAACTACTTATAGAAGGGTATTCTAGAGGAAAGTTATATATTATATTAGAACCCCTTCTTCTTTATAAGAAAGAAGGATAGGAAAATACACTTAATTAATTTAGCTACCTAAATTAATAGAGTTATACTTTAAGATATAGCTTTACCTCTAGTAGGAGATAAGTTTTTAGAAGACTTCACTATATACTAGCTTCTATCTCTACTTAACTTCTTCTTAGGATATAACTAAATCCTACTAAATATAAAAAGCTAAAACCTTATAATATTTACTATACTAATTAGATTACTATATATATATACTTTACTATAAAGCGCTACTAACTTTATTACTTAGTTTATAAAAGTAATAATAAAGATCTTATATAACTTAATCCCTTACTATTATAAAGCCTTCTTTAATAATATTACTATTAAAAGCCTTATAATATAGTATAATAATAAAGAAATACCTAGTTACTTAGGAATATAGAAATTTATCTTTAAGTATATCTAAAATATTAATAAAGTATTATTTAACCTTAAGTTAGTAGAGTACTTAGTCTTAATAGATAAGTCCTAATAAGCTTAAACTACTATAGCTATTATTAGATATATATATAATACTAATAGTTAATGCCTAGAATAGTTAAAAATTATTAAGATAACTAAATAGGAGGCTTATAAAAGACTTATAGAACTATATACCTTCCTCAGAATTACTTTATTCTACTAAATATAAGTAATTCACTTTTTAACTATTACTAAACCCCTCATAAAGCTTCTAAGGAAGGATATTAAGTTTATATAAGGTCCTAACTAATAGAAGGCTATAAATAAACTGAAATATAAGCTTATATTATCTCTAATTCTTATTAAACTTAACTATAAGCTTAATAGAGGTGTTATCTATCTAGTAGTTAATATTAATAGTATAAAATAAAGAGTAATACTTAGTTAATTCATTAATAGGAAGAGATATATTTTATAGTATAAAAATAGCTTATAGGTAGGGGTAGAGCTTAACTATAATATAAGAAAAAAGGAACTTTAGGGCCTTCTAAAAGTATTAAAATAAGTATATAACTATCTCTTTAGCTACTATTTTATTATTAAGATAGATATAAAGACGCTTATAGCTTAAATTAATAGTATAGCTTCTAATCTCCTTAGTGCTCTTATTATTTAATAGATTATATAGATCTATATATTTAACTTTAAAATCTAATATATACTAAGTATATAAAACACTACTGCTAATAGCCTCTCTAGGAAGCTTAATAAGCCTTTAGATAAATAAAATAAAGAAGTAGAAGGAGAAATTAATAACTAAATTAACTAATAGATCTTCTTTATAGATATATAAATATATTCCTTCTTTAATAAGGCTTAAGACTATAGAAATACTTAAGCTACTATAGATATTATAGCTATAACTACTAGTAATAATAATAATAAATAGGATACCTTCCTCGTAATACTACTATTAATATTAAGTGATTTATAGACCTAGTTAATAAAGTCTTAATAGATTATATACTTCCTTAGTACTCTCTATTACTTACTAAGTATTCCTATAAACTAATATAAGTAATAGTAAGTAAAAGCTATTAACTATACCTTTTATAATAGGTTCTTATTCATACGCCTAAGTATTTATAAGCTAATACTATAACGTATTATTAATAGTACTACTAAGAGAAACTATCTTATTATATATACTTATATTAAGAGTAGCTATAGAGGATATAATACTATATTTAAAAAGCTTATAGATAACTACTTCTAGCTAAGCCTCTATAAGTCTATTATAGATATAATCTTAATATACCTAAACTATTAACTATATAAGGTATACTAAATTAATAATATATACTCCTTTATAATACCTACTAAACTCCTATTTATAAGGGTAACCTTAAATATTTAGAAAGTAGGTAGATATAATATAGTTAAAGCTAGAAACCTCTTAATAAAATAGGTTAAGGCGAGATAGATACTATAAGCTAATTTAAAGCTTATTACTAAATTTATCTAAGAAGATATTATCTATTACTATAGGTTATATAGAACGCTAGTTATAAATAGAGGACTAGAGAATAAAGGTTATATTATTACTTTTAATAAGAAATATACCTTTTACTAGTAAGTTATAGTAGTTTATAATCCTCATGCTAATAGAACTATTAAGAAAAGTTACTAGCTTATTACTTATACTTTATTAACCTAGCTTAAAAATACTAACTATAACTTTTAACCTTATCTTTATATTACGCTTTTTATAAACTAAATAACTATTTAGGCGTTAACTAGTTACTCCCCTTTCTACCTTCTTTATAAGTATAACCTAGTTATACTAATTAAGACTTTTATACCTATATAGAGAGTTCTTAACTAAGCTAATATCTCTATACTAAAATAAGAACTTACTATATAAATATAAGCCTTTAGCTAGTTAGATAAAAATAGAGAGGAGGCCTAAAAGATAATTATAAAGTAGTATAAATATATTATTATATAGTTTAATAAGTAGTATACTTATATACTCTAACTAAGCTACTTAAACGTTAGTAACTTAATACTATCCTTTAATATTATAAAATCTATTAATAAGTTATTAGATATTAAGTTAGATTATAAATAAAAAGGTCCCTTTTAAATCTACTCCTACGCTTTAAAGAACTCTTTATACTAGCTTATTATACTTACTAGAGAACCCCTATAAGGTTTAATATATATAAGAAACTACCTAAAGAAGTTTATCTAATCCCCTAAAGGTTTTTAGGAACCTAATAACCCTATTATCCTCTAAAATAACTTTATAAACTATATTAAGTATATATTCCTACCCTTAAAGTAGCTAGATATAAAGATACTAGATAATAATTCTAAGGATAGAGATTTAGAGTAACTACTTATATAATAAAGTATAATTTAAGTAATATAACCTTATACTAATAATTAATAACTATTCTACTCTCTTTTAATTATATTATTACTTAAAGATAGCTATTTACTAAGAGGATATCTAAGGAATATACTATAGCTATAGCTTTATAGCCTAACTAATACTACTAGATAATACTTTATAGACCTAAATTATATTAATATTATCTTAGTTTATACTATTTTATCTTATTTTTATTATATCTTATTATCTCTATACTTTTATTCTATTATACTATTTATATTATTTAGGATTTATAAAGATACTTCTACCTATAATACTACTTACCCTATTTACTTTATATAAATATTTTCTTATCTTATTTATATAGAAAGTACTTATTATATAATAAGTATAAGCTATTTATTACTATTCCTCCTTATTTTAATTACCTATATCGCTATTTTATACTTATCCTAAGAGAATACTTTATAGATTAGGCTAAAGTAATAAGATTTACCTCCCTTATAGTAAGATATCTATACCTTATTTACTTAAGTTATAGTATTTCACTTATACTCTTCTTTATATTCTATTATCTTTACCTTATTATTTTATTATAATACTTAGCTTAGAAGGAATTAATATAAATACCTCTATTAGTTAGTATATTACTACCCTACCTTTTTTTTTTTTTTCTCTTTTATACCTAAGATAGAGTTTTAGAAGATTATTATACTTACCTTTATTTAGTTTATTTCTACTATATTTATTTTTTATATACTTTTCTTTATAAAGAGCTTTATAGATCTAAACTATATATAAGTATTTATACTACTTATAAGGTCTTATTTATCTCTTACTTATAGCTTATTATTAGATAGCTTACTTCACTATATTTCTATACTATTAGTTATTAATTCTATAGCTATATTTACTCCTTATAGCTATTTATAATAAGCTAGGTCTATAAAATATATTTCCTAACTAACTTAGTAGTCTTACTAACCTTAATAGCTTTTTTCTCTTTAAAGCCTAAAAGCTTATATCTTATAATTAGCCTCATTTCTGCTTACCTTTCTATTCCTAACCTATATTACCTTACTACTTTTATAAGTTTTCCTTTCCCTATTAATCTTAATAAGCTTCTTAAGCTTAATTAGAACTTTATACGTTAAGAGCTATACTATTTTTACCCTACTACTCTCTAGTATTACTTATTACTTATTATAATATATTATTTATATTAATTAGCTTAAGTAGCTAATATTATATCTATAAAAAATACTTACTAGCTAACTATTTTAACCTTATTATCCTAAGAGACTATTTCCCTTTATATACTTTATCTACTCTAGTAGTCTTCCTTCTTTATCTACCTCTACTACTTCTAATAACTTAGATTAACTTAATAGATTGCTATTTTATACTATATCTATCCTTTTTATATCTACCTCCTTAAATATTTATTTCTACTATAAGATAGGCTATATAGCTAAAATAAATAAGGATAGAAAGGAACTAGCTTTATAGAAAGCTTCTATAAAAAGTATACTTTAATAACTATAAAGCTATTCTTTAAGCTAATACTAGTAATTTATTATTATTCCTCTAGTCTATAACATAATAGATAATTAGAGCTTTAGCTAGATAGAACTACTTAGAACTAAGAATAGTAAAATAAAACCTCTCCCCCCCCCCTAAAAAGTTAAATACCTTATCCTATATTACTCTAATAGGATTTACCCTATTTATTTACTCTATAAAGATCCTAAGGATAGAAAACCTATAAAAAGAGACTAAAGTAGCCTAATATATCCCTCAATAGATCCTCTTAGTAAGCTAAGAGACTATTTTATTAGTTTATTATTCTTCCCTACTTAGTTAAAGCTCTATTAATATACCCCTCCTTATTTTATACTTACTCCTAAAGCCTTATATTATAAAATAGAGTTATTACTTTATAGATTAGAATAAAATATAATAACTATTTTAATACTATCCTATACTACTTACTACCTATTCTACCCCTACTATTTATATAGACTAACTACTTATAAATAAAAATTATAGGAAAATAACCCCTTATGCCCTTAGTACTTTAGTAGAAGTAATAATATTCCTTTCTCTAGTTTAACTAAATTTACCTCTATTTAGATTATTTAGCTTAATCTATATTTAGATTTACCCCTATTTCTTTACTTTTATACTTTTTATTTAGATATATCTAAACTAAGTATAAACTTAATATCTAAATATAAATAAGAATAAGATAAATCTAACTAAGTATAAAAAAGCTTATTATTATAACTAATTACCTATTCTCTTTAAGCTAATAATCTCTTATAATCCCTCTTCTACTTAAGTTATAAGTATCTAAAGTTATAAGTTAAATAGAAGCCTTAAAACTATAAGCTACTTTTAGTACTATAAATAAAAATATAAAAATATATCTCTAGCTAAATACCTATAAGAATACTTATAAAATAATAGTATAGAATAGTAAGTAGAGAACTATCTAATAAAATAGCTAAGCTAAAATAACCTACTCTCTTATACTATAATATAAGATAGTTACTTTATAGATTAAAATAATAAAGTAGGATAATAAAATTAACTTAGTTATATAGCTATAGACCCTCTAGTTACTCTATATACCCCCCCTCTTTTATTCTACCTCTTAGTAATAAAGCCTTTTAAGAAGCCTTACTATAAATATAAGAAGGAAGTTCCTCTATCTTATTATAGTTAAAATTAAGAGGAAGCTTTACTATAAATAAATAGTTTATAAATATAAATAACTTAAGGGTAGCCTTATACTTATAAATCTACCTATCTACTATACTTATAATATCCTCTATAAAGTTTAGTACTTATATATAACTCTACTTTATAGTCTACTAGTTAATTTTTAACTTAGTAATCCTAATACTAATATACTTACTACTTTTCTAATACTTCTTCTCTTTTCTTATTCTATAGCTAAACTCCTTATAGATCTCTTTATTAGTATATAAGTACTCCTTTAAAATATCCTTATAGTAAATATAGTTTATATAAGGTTTATTAGGTATTAAAATATATTTAAAATATAGTTTATAAACCTAAGTACTAATTAAATTATCCCTAAGGGAGTAAGTATAAGCCTTATAGTAATTATAAGGGATAGTATTATAACCTCTAAAAACTTAAACGAAGAAGCTATAGGATACTACTAGATAATTAAGATTAAAGACCTTAGTTACCTAAAGCTTATAAGGAGTTATAAGGCTACTTATAATAAATACCTACCTATAGAAGAGGTTAAAAGAGGTATCTAAGTAGCTAACTATATATAATAAATACTTTATACTTATTAAGTTTTACTAGAATTATTTTATAACCTACTTTATAGATATAGAGAGTATAAATAAGCTAAAGTCTACTTTATAATATATATTATAAAGTTATAGAAATTTAAGTTTATACTAAATAAAGCTTATAAGTAACTATAAAAAAACCTATTAATTAAATAGTAAGAGATAATAAGGATATATAGTAAGAACTTATAATTAAACTTAAGTTATTTAATATAATATAAAGAGGAGAGTTAGACTTTATATTAGTTAGTTACTTCTTAGAGTTAGTTAGTAGCTAAAACTTATAATAAGCTAAAAGGTATTACTCTTAAAGTTAGTTAGTATCTTTAACTATAATAAAGAAAAATATAAAAGACTTATTAATTAGTGAGGATATAAGCTTTATAGACCTAAAGTATAATAATTATTTACTTAGGAGATAATATAAATAGGTTATTAATAAAGGAAAGAAATACTACCTTAATAGCTTATAGAGGGGATATAAATAGATAAATAAGTAGGATAATTAAGGCTACTAATTTAATAGTAATTATACCTACCCTCTTATTTTAAGCTTTAATTCACTTTAGTAGCTATTTTTTATCTTATCTTTAATAAAATAAGTAATTATAGCTACCTACTTATATCTATAAATCACTACTATTTTACTTATAACTCTTATTTATAAACTTTAAGTAAATAACTATATAACTACTATTTATATCTATAAACTATTACTAAGTAATTATTATATTAATTACCTCTACTTTCTCTATTTTCTAATATACCTTCTATATATTATATTAATACTACTCTCTCCCCCTCTTTTTCCTTATTTCACTACTTATATATTATACTATAACTAATTATATCTATAAAATATATACTATACCTTTCTTAAGAATTACTATATCTTCACTACTACCTAACTTAGTTAATATAATATCTATCTAAAAAGGAGCTTTTATTAAAAGTTTTATTAAAGTTTATATAGTTAAGTAACTTATTTAATCTAAGAAGACCTCTAAAACTTTAACTTAGTTATACTTCTAAGTTAACTATAAGAGAGATAAGTTACTTAAATATATTAATAAAACTACTACTTAGCTAAAGCTTATATACCTTAATAATACTCCCTCCCCCTTTAATAAGAAACTAGTTCTAATACCTATATAGCTATAACTAAGAGATATTAAGTTATAATAGTACCTCCTTAATAGATAGGGACTAGTAATAATCCACCTAAGATACCTATAGTTAGATTTAAAAACACTTAAAAATATTATAAATACTTATAACCTCTAAGATACTATCCTTACTACTATTATACTAAATAGTAATAATATTATAAGAGGCTTTACTATAGCTATATATTATATTAGTTAGAAAGTTAGGCTAGCTTTAAGATCACCTAAAGGCCTCTTATTAGTAAACTACCTTATAGTTAAAAATATATAATAATACTACTTTATCCTCTTTACTAAATACTTTATAATACTATTTAATAAAATAGACTAAGTATAAGCTAAAATACTACTAAACACTTTAATAGGATAAATATTTATATATAATAACTACTAAGAAGATAGAGAAGCTAAGAATAGATTTATTATAATCTCTAAAAATATTAAGTACTTCTTTACTAGCTTCTCACTATACTTTTAATAAGCTTTATTCTAAT